GCTGAGCAATTGTATCCTCTCCCCTTGTTATTCCTCTTATCATTATTATTGGTAGCAGTAGTGGTTTGTATTATACCTTAGTTACTGGAGAGCTGTTATCTCAACCCGTGGGAGTTACATTCCTCTGATTCTCCTCCCCATCCCTCCGGGAGCGGGGGGAGGAAGGAAAAGGCGGGGGAGTGAGCGAGCGGCTGCGTAGTTCTGAGTTACCAGCTGGGCTTAAACCTCGACAATCAGCCATTCCCTGGCTTGATTTTGTGCCTCTGTGAGAGTTCCAAATGATCCCCATCCAAACACAGGATTCCCTGGGGAAGATAAGCTAGCACCCTTCAGCTGGCAGAGACAGACGCTGCATCTGCCAAAGCAACCCAGGGAGTCTGGTATCATCCATCATCTGGGTTCTGGTGGGAAGCAGACAAGCCATGAGGCTTATTTGAAACCCAATTCCAAGGCACTTAATTACAGCATGCCAGGAGCCACCAGAAACAGACCTTTTCCAGGGCAGCCCAGTGCAAGTGACTGGGGACATGGACTCTGCAAGCTGCCCCGGGCAGGGGAGTCAAGCATCATCCAACTGCACAGAGGACATGGGGATTTCTTACTTACAGGTGCTCCTGTTCTCCCTGGATGTCCTGGGGGCCCAGGGGCTCCGGGTTTCCTCTGCATTAAAAGAGATGAACACTGGTAAAGCACACCTCATTGGTAAAGGGATTGGAGAGAAGAAAATGCAAGCCAGGAGAAAACCCAAAGCACAGAATAAGGTACTTCAGAGGAATACTCACCGGCCAGCCTGCATGCAGAAGCTGGTAAAATGATGATTGCTGAAAGGAGAGTGGGGAAAAAAGCAAATTGTAATAAATAAATAAGTCCTAAATCCATTTTTGCTTCTTCCAAGTATTTTTCCCACTGCTTGGGAGGACAAAGCAATAAAGTAAACCTCTAATTCACTGATTCTTTTTATACCATGTGTATTCAAGTCACAAGAGAAGGCTTAATCTGAGGACAATGTGTAAGAGAGAAGGAACTATCTTGGCCTTATCAGCAAATTAAGACAAAAGAGCTCACTTCTGAAGTCTGCTGCAGTTCGTCTCCCCCACGTATTCCCACAGCAGCCTTGGGACACATTTTGCATGGGTAGAGGTTGTCAATGTGGTGTTGGTGAGTGCAGGTACCATCATCCTTAGCCCAGGCTGGACTAAATCTGCTGTTTTCACACTGCAGTTTGTCCCAGGTGCAAAAACTCATCCCAACCAGCCCAATCCAAATCCCTGGAGCAGTCATGGCAAGAGGCTTTCTCCTTGATGCTCCCAGCAAGCAAATCTTTCATCTTCTTCCAATTGGTTAGGAGGCCAGATAACCACAGAGAAGGGAAAAAGCCCACCCAAAAACCACAGAGTAAAATAATCCAGTAACAATCACAGCTAATCCTGTTGTACTTCAAAGTCAACATAAAGATCCCGAAATCTCACAGAGCAGCATCTTCTCCACACACTTCCAAGCCACCTACCCCCAAGTTTTGAGTGATGGCAAGGAAACAAAATGACGTCTATCTATCTCCAACACATCTGCAACACACAGAATCCCAGCCTGGTTTGTGTTGGAAGGGACCTTAAAACTCATCCAGTTCCAACCCCCTGCCACAGGCAGGGACACCTTCCACTAGAGCAGGTTGCTCCAAGCCCCTGTGTCCAAGCTGGCCTTGAACACTGCCAGGGATGGGGCAGCCACAGCTTCTCTGGACACCCTGTGCCAGCACCTCAGCACCCTCACAGGGAAGAGTTTCTTCCTTATATCTAACCTGAACCTCCCCTGTTTCAGTTTGAACCCATCACCCCTTGTCCTATCACTGCAGTCCCTGAAGAAGAGCCCCTCTCCAGCATCCTTGTAGACCCCTATCTCCAATACTTCTCCAGCACATCTCCAGCCATCCTCCCAGCAGCACAAACCACAGACACACAGGAGTCAAACCCCATCTTTCCTCCTCCTCCTCCCCATGGTGAGCCCAGACACATGGTCCCGGCAGCTCCTCCAAACCCTGCCTTGCATGAAAGGCAAAGAAAATCCCCCTCTTTGTTCATCATCCCAGTCTGAAGTAGCTGGAGGGGCAGGATTTCCACGTGCTCCCCAGCTTTAGGCTTTGGGGTGCTGGGAACCCCCCTCCTGTCCCCCTTCCAAAGATACCAGAAGGGAGAGAAGGGAAGGAGCCAAGGAACTCATTATCCAAACTAAACACAGAGCTTTCAACGTATGGGAATGTTTCTAATAATGAGCAGGGTGCTGGGGGGTGGATGATAGATGGATGCGTTGAACTGCTTGAACACCACACCAGGCACCTCTGTTCCTTTCCAGTCGATCCCAGTTTGGTTATCATGAGCAAATGGGTGCAGCCCTTGCCAGGGCCAGGCCATGGTCTTCCTGTCCAGCCAGTTCTCATTTCCCTCAAAAGCTGCTCAGACAAACTGGGTTTGGGGGTTGGAGCATGGCCAATGCTTCTGCCTTGTCTCAGGAATCCGTGAACTCAGATTCACTCGGGACAGGATATTATTTCATTAGGCTTCAAATAAAAAACCCCAACCTTTTAAAAAGAGGGGGTTAAAAACTCCCACTGGAGATGTGAACTCGTATTTCAGAGCTCCAGATGCCAAGGAGAGGGGAGAGAATTATCTGCCTTCTGCAGCTACAGTTGGAAACAGTCAGTGCTTTGCTGCTGCAGCTCTGCTTAGGGGGAGCGGGGTGATGGGAGGAGGGATGGTGAGTAGGGGATGGAAGATGGGGAGAGATCCCCTATGGATCTGTCCTCCTGTGCAGCTCCTCCTTGTCCAAAGCCCCTCTCCAGGTTTCCTGGAGCCCCTTTAGGCACTGGAGCTGCTCTAAGGTATCCCCTTCAGGAGCCTTCTCTTCTCCAGCTGCCCCAGCCCAGCTCTCTCAGCCTGGCTCCAGAGCAGAGCTGCTCCAGCCCTTGCAGCAGCTCCGTGGCCTCCTCTGGACTTGCTCAAGCAGCTCCACATCCATCTTGCTTTGCTCAGTTCCCATGGCTTGTTCCACCGGGATGGGAAAGAAGCAGCTATTAAGCATCCCAACAGCTGTAACTGCTCTGGGACAGTCACTGGCGTCCCTTGTTTCCCAGCCCATCACACTGCATTACATGCCCCAGGCTGAGAGGTGGCTCCTCTGACTTGCACACCCAAAGGCTGAGCCAACGACAAACCCCTGTAGCCCTCTGATCACAATCCCTCTGTTCACAACAGCAGCCCTGTTCCAAGCCACATTTCTCCACCCCTTTCGTAAGTCATAGGGGGCTGCAGAAGCAGACACCCTCCCCCCCCCCAGCTGCCAGCATCAGCTTTGCCCCCTGTGCTATCCCAACCCAGTTTAGCAAAGCCCAGACCATGTTTAGCACTCCTGTTTCCTGCCACCGGGCTCAGTGGGGCACAGACACAGCGCCCAGTGAGGCTGTGGGCGCTCCTTGCCAGACACCTCCTTCCCCTCCAGATCGGCTCCTTGCCAAAAGCCCTGGGCCACGAGCCAACATCCAGTCCCCGGGAGCCCTCCAGCTCCTTCCCAAACACAGAGCAGCCCATCTGCTCCCTGCAGCATTCCCAACACTTCAGCATCGAAGGTGGTGCTACGCCAAAGGAATCGCGGTACACGGCAACATCCATAGGCATGAGTGTTGCTTCCTGTGGAAGAAAAAAGCCTGAGACCCCTTTACAAATAGAGGCAGGGAAAAATAGATAATTCTGAGTGAGTGTGCAGAGCAAAGAGCACAAATAGCCCTGCAAAGGGCTGTGACTGTGTCCTGACCATGGGATTATGCTGATGTCTGCCCCAAACACCCTGGGAAGGAGATTGCCCTGGCACAGGCATAGGGATGTGCTCTGGCACTGCCGGTTTCACACAGCTCACCCTCTCCTACCCCTGTTTGCTCTGGTCCCCAGCACTGTATGCCTGCAATAGTTATATGAGCACTGATAACAGCACAGCACCAGTTCTAGGGCAGCAGGAGGCCAGGAGAACATGGAGGTCCTACAGGTCAACCAAGATTCTCCCAATGATCAGCTTTCCCATGCTTCCTAGGAGGAATCTGACCTCTGCGATGGCAGGTATTGATCTTCTGCAGCTGCTTTGATCCAATCCCATGCCAAACTGAACAGGCAGGGCTGGCCCAAGGGCTCTGCTTGGGCAATCCAAGCTCGGAGCAGCACAGGACCACTCCCCAGCTCCTACTTCCAGCCAGCATCATGGTGCACAGCTGGCAGAGCAGAGGTGCTCCTCACTGTATCCTCTGGCCAGCACTGAAGGCATCTGCCCTGGAGCAGAGTGTGCATTCACAGATGAATGAGTTGAAGTCAAATGTCCTGCCCAAGGTCTTTGAAGTTTTTAGAGGGCTGGAACATTGAACCTGGCCCATTACTGTGCCCCTGGCACCAACTTGCTTTGCAGGCCACCCCCCGGCCTCTGCTTGGAGCAGATGATACTATCTGGACAGGCTGCAGTCCCATTGGAGGGACACTGCAGATGCACAATGCATCCCTGTTCCAAGGAGCTCCAGCCCCAGGGTGGTGAAGTGCCTCAGGCACTAGTAACCCAGTGCCTTTGGCTGCTGCCCTGCCTGGCCCAGGGAAGGCTCGAGAGGGGTTTGAAACAAAGCTAAATCACAGCAGTCGCTATGGGGATGAGGATTGCTGGGTCATTGCAGTGATTGCTCCCACAGGGCAGGGAGTTCTGCAGCACCTCAAGCACTGTCCCCACAGCAGCAGGGTTTGGGTAAGGAAGTATCTCATCTTGGCAAGAAGCTGGATGGGCACAAACCCTGTGAGCCAGAGCCATGGCACACAGCAGGGATGGGGCTTGGAGCAACCTGCTCTAATGGAAGGGGTCCCTGCCTATGACAGGGGGTAGGAGCTGGATAAGCTTTAAGGTCCCTTCAACACAAACCAGTCTGTGACTCTACGATATGGTGGAAAGCAGGAGCAATGCTTTGTAACCAGCAATGCAGAGCAGGAAAGGAGCTGCTTTCTGCATGATTTAAGACCTTCTTTGTTCCTGTCCTACAGAGGTAGGGCATGAGCTGCCCTAGGGAGGTAATGGACTTGCATGTGGACCACAGGGACCCAAGATCTCCCAATCAGTCACAGGGGAATGGCTGTGTGAGCATAGGGGTGTAAATGGGCTGCACATTGATCCCATTTCATCTGCCTACAGAGTCATTCCCAGTGAGCTACACCTGTATCCCAACAGATTAAGAACCTCCAACCACCGGGAACCCTTTCTCCCAGCTCTCATCCCAGCAGAGCAGGAACTGGTGAGGATTTGGACATGGAGCTCCCCAAGTGGCTGTGCAGCGAGGCTGTAACTCACCGTGAAGGTCTGCCAGTCCTCCCTGGAGTTCCTCCAGAGCACGATAGTGGGAACACCAGGGATGCCCATGGGGCCTGGGTCACCCGGGAGGCCTGTGCGCCCCACGGCGCCGGGGTACCCCTGCGGAGAGAAAGGCAGCTCCTTAAAGCCACTCTAACAGTCAACACAGGCTGGACACTCAAGTCAGCCTCTAAGTGGAGCCAGGGCCTAAGCATGTTCCTGGGTTCAAACCAGCTCTTAAGGTCTTAAATAACCCTGGTGCCAGGGAAAGCAAAAGGAAGGAGCTTCTGAGACGTGCCCAGACCCATCTAAGTGCCGAAGCCAATGCACACAGAAGTAGCATGGCTTGTGGAGCAAGGAGTTTGCCCCTCTACAGCTTGGGAAAGATGGAAACTCCCATGCGAGGGTGGTTGGGAACACTCATGCCGTTTTACTGATGAGGACACTGAGGCACCTCCCTTAGTCCAGGGCATCTCCAAGCATCTGTCAGTGCACTGGACGGTGCTGTGTGCAGCAGGAGACCAAGCTGTGCCATGCAGGGCTCTGTGCACCCAGAGCAGGAAGGACAGGCTGGGTCTGCCCAACATGGTGCTGGAAGACATGGCCCTCCAAGATGAGCTGGTAGATACAGAGAGGGTGGACACAGGGACACAGCAGCATCCCTCCTCCAGGTGACCTGAGCTAAAGCTGCTTCATTTCCCTGCTCTGCTGCCTTTGCAGAGCCATTAGGTGGCTCAGGGGAAAGATGGATAGCATCTTGTCCAGTCAGCTCAGTCCTGAGCTTGGGCTTAAAATACGCGGTTACAACAGTTCTTTCCTCTTCCAAATGCACACTGAGGGCCACCAGAAGCAGCTTCAGAATCCCACAGTGCCCTCTTGATGAAAACCATTCAAACCAACCCAAACCATCTGTGTATTCACCGCAGACTCTACACCCCATGTTTTTGGATACTCACTTTGTCTCCTTTGGGTCCCACCAATCCACGTCTCCCAGGACAGCCCTGAAAGGCAAAGGAGAAGAGCTGTCTCACCCTGAAGGGAGACCCCAACAGCCAGGGGGTATCCTACAGTGGCTGGGTGACCCCTGCTATGGCCATCCTGGTCCCAGGGAAGCAGGAACTAAGCTAAAGCAAGTCTCAAAGAAACATCCCAAATTGTGGTGGGGTGGAAACTGCACCCTATTTGATGCTGCCTCCTTCCCACTCCCCTGGTCTGCTCAGCATCTGTCACAGAAGTGCCCCACACCATAACTCCAGGGTGCAGAAGCGAATTTCCTGACATCTGGTGTGGAAAGGGAAGGTGTTAGGAAACAATCCCATAAAGCTGGATGAGGGCCACATGCTCACACAGTAGTTTGGAGGAGAATGCAAACATCTGTGGCTTGTGTAAGATCTGATCTATCCCCTCTCTAGGCAAAAGTGCACATTGAGCCAAGCAATGACCCCACTTTAGGGCTCACCAAAGCATTTGTCTGGACAGGAACAGAGTCAGACAGAGATCCTGGCTTTGCTTGATAAAGAAATCCATCTGGAAGATGTCAGCAGAGACTGAGAGCATGCTGGGCTGCAGCGCAGCATCTACTGCATGTCTGCTGCAGACCTGCAGATCTGATGGCTTCAGTTACAGCTGCTTTTTGTTCTGAGCTTGCAAACTTTGTCCTAGCCTGGGAATCCACATGGAGTCATCCCCACCCCAGCACAGTCACATTACATCCCTGCTGCAGCCAGCCCTCACCACCCTGTGCTGATAGGATGGGTATAAAGGTCAAGCTACATGGCCAGAAGCAGCTTTGGCACTGGGGGATGCTGGTTTGTGCTGGAAAAGACCTTAGAGCTCCTCCAGTTCCAACCCCTGCCAGGGGCAGGGACACCTTCCACTAGAGCAGGTTGCTCCAAGCCCCTGTATCCAACCTGGCCTTTAACACTGCCAGGGATGGGGCAGCCACAGCTTCTCTGGGCACCCTGTGCCATCATCTATCCACTTAATTCAGGGTGCCTGGGCTGGGAGCATCCCCAAAACAGGCTCTATGTGCCCAGACCCTCCAGGCTGGGTCCCATCCTCACCCTGGTGACAGCAGAGCTGTCAAATGCTGTGTGGTTTCCTCCACACCCGGGATTATTTCACCCTTCACCATCTGTTCTTTTTGCCATTTCCTTCTATTTTTCAGGCAGTCTCTGCAGCAGCAAAGAAATGATTTGAGGGGGAAGCTGGCAGCCCCAAAATTAACTGGTATCCTATGAAGCCTGTCTCATTGATGATGAATTTATTGCCAGGTCTCTCAAACACAGCCACAAAGAGCCATGCATAGAGCCCTGCCCTGCAGTGTCTGGATGAAGCTACAGGGCAGCCCTGAGCTTGGGGCATCCCAAAGGGCTTTTATGCAGGTGTCTGCCTAGGGGGAAGGAGAAGGTGCCCATGGTCACTTCTGGCAGGGGCAGGGTAACGGAACTGTAACTTTCTAGAGGAGTTGTTAAGAAATTATAACCAAATTAAGGAAATAATTTTAGCAGAAGAAACAAATGTGGGGAAAAACCTTGGACAAGGGATGTAGGTCCAGGACAAGGGGAATGGCTTTAACCTGCCAGAGGGGAGATTGAGATGAGCTCTGAGGCAGAAGCTCTTCCCTGGGAGGGTGCGGAGGCGCTGGCACAGGGTGCCCAGAGAAGCTGTGGCTGCCCCATCCCTGGCAGTGTTCAAGGCCAGGTTGGACACAGGGGCTTGGAGCAACCTGCTCTAGTGGAAGGTGTCCCTGCCCGGGGCAGGGGTTGGAGCTGGAGGAGCTTTAAGGTCCCTTCCAACCCAAACCAGGCTGGGATTCTATGAAAATATATAAAAGCATTTTCAGCTATTTCCCAATGAAGACTGAGAACCTCTATGAAGTCTTATCTGTTCTATGCTTACCTTTTCCTTTTCAATTTCATTTTTCATCCACTATGATGAACGAACAAGCTGACAAACAATCAAACCTTATCTCAAGTCAAATTCAGTGCTCTGCTTTGAACCACTACAAATTTGGGGACATTGCAGAGGTAGAGAAGTGATGGACAGTGATGCCAGCAGGTCCATGGACTGATGTCTGGGGTTTGCTGTAGGGACAGGGGCTGGAGAGGTGGCTTGGCCCCACACTGAGCATTTCAGCCTGCTTCTGGGCAGGACCATAGAGTCATGGAGGTTTGGTTTGGAAGGAACATTAAAGATCCAGGGTAAAATGAAAGCCGACTACATGGTTAAATGACTTGAGACTAATCTCTATGGAAGGGGACAACAGAATCAGCTTCTACTCTCCACTTGCCACTGGAGCTTCTTCAGGGACATCAAAAAACCTCCTCCAAGGGCCAGGCTGGTGCACAGCCCCATGCTGCCTGCGCAGATATTTCCCTGCCCAGCAACCTGCGCCCATCACCTGCTCTGGAGGGGAAGCAGCACCACGACCACCCATCCCAGCCCTCCAGCACTCACCGGCAGCCCTGGTGGTCCTGGCAGCCCTGGTGGTCCCGGCTTGATGTGACCCTGCTGCCCATGTGCCACCGGTGACACAGGGTGTCCCAGGTTGGCAGTGCTGTCCCCAAGCCCTGGGATAACAGGGCTGGCTGCTGATGGAGGATGCTCCAGGAGACCTGCTGCTGACCCCAACCCAAAGGGACCTTTGGGCATGTTTCCTTTGGGGGCAGCTCCCTGACGTGGCAATGGGGAGACCTTGATGAAGGTGGCAGACACGTCCAGGTCAGTGATGGCATCGTCAGGTTTGCTGGGCAGGAGCTCCTGCTGGGTCCTCACATCACCCATCTGCTTCTCTGTGGTGACATTCTCCTCCCAGGGGTCAGAGGCACGCTCCTTCTTGGCTGCTCTCAGTATTTTTATGGTGGAGCCTGGGTGGATAAAAGCACCATCATGTACCCTGGTAGCATGGTGAAAGACAGGCTGAGAACGTTGAGGCTGTTCAGCCTGGAGAAAAGAAGCTGTGTGGAGACCTCAGAGCAGCTTCCAGTGTGTGAAGGGGGCTACAAGGATGCTGGAGAGGAACCTTCATCAGGGACTGGAGTGACAGGAAACGGGGTGATGGGTTCAAACTGAAACAGGGGACGTTCAGGTTAGATATAAGGAAGAAACTCTTCCCTGTGAGGGTGCTGAGGTGCTGGCACAGGGTGCCCAGAGAAGCTGTGGCTGCCCCATCCCTGGCAGTGTTCAAGGCCACGTTGGACACAGGGGCTTGGAGCAACCTGCTCTAGTGGAAGGTGTCTCTGCCTGTGGCAGGGGGTTGGAACTGAAGGAGTTTTAACGTCCCTTCCAACTCAAACCATTCTATGACTCTGGACTCACCGGAGCTACCAGCAACCCCTGGGCTGGCCCTGCTGAGCCCTGGCCTGCCAGGGCCAGTGATTTTGTTATAGGTGGAGTTCAACAGCTCAAAGCCTTCCTCCTCGATAGAGAGGCTGATCTCCTCCTCAGCTGATGGCATCTCGGTGGCAGTGGGTGAAGTCAGGGCACTCCCATCAGGCTGGATGTTGAGGGTCTCCTGGGCATCCTCCTGCATCCATGGGAGCCTCAGGGTCAAATCTGAATGGGTGATTCTGGAGTCCTGACAAGGAAGAAGGAAAATATGAAATCTGAAGTTTTCACCTGTTTTTTTCCCCTTCCTCACGCAACACACTTGTGCTTCCT